TTACTCCAAAACCGTAGCCACCATGAATATTTCTGAAATCTTCTACCACTCTACCGACATGTCCATTTAAATCTCCTCCAATAAAAATTCTTTCTTCAAGAGGTATCATTTGTATTAAGTCTTCTAAGTCATTCCAAAATTTATCTTTAGACTCTGTATCTAAACCTACTTGAGGAGCATAAACACTTATAATATTAAAAATCTTAGTATCAATGATAATCTTAAGGGCTATAATTCTATCACCAACTCTATTAATTTTTACAACATTATCTTTCAAACTCTTATCTATAATTACACCTACACCATTTCTAGTGCGACTCTTACCAGAATACCAAAGTTTAAAACCTAAATTATCAATCTCCTTAGCCTTTTCTCCCACCCACTTAGTTTCTTGAATACATAAGATATTAATTTTCCTATGAATCATAATATCAACTAATTCCATTAATTTACCATTGAGAGTGCCTATATTCCAAGATCCTATCCTAATATTAGTTTCATTAGTTTCATGGACTAACTTCTTTACCCGCATTCGCCCGTAATGTGGGAACCCTTGCTTATTTAACACTACACCCGGGCGCCGGTGTAGCGGCCCTTGCACACTTTTCACTGTATTCAGGCTATACAGCGCGTCGCTTCCAGGGGACGCCCTAGCACTTACACAATGATCAAAAGGATTCATGTCATGATTTTTTCGACAAGTTTTACGCTGGCTGTCGACTACCTAACGCAACCCTCCACTTTTCTCATCCGGGCTTGGGACCCTAAATGATAAAATCTATAAATTATAAAAATTATCTGCGTTGTATGATTATAAAATATATAAGTTTAGATGTTAAATATGTAAATATATAGGATTTGAGTGGGATGTATGTAAATATCCTTAAAATACTTATATATATTTATTTTGTTGTTCACTTTTATATTTTTTATTTTCACTTTTACATTAAAAACATTTTTAGTTTTTATTTCTGATACATCCCTAAGAGAAATGATTATAATATACATACTTTTTTCCATTTGGGGTTTCTAAATAAAAAACCTTAATCTCTTCTGTTTCAACAATTCTTTTATCTCTGTGTGTGCTAGATTTTCGTATAATATGAAAGCGATAATATATCTCAACTATCGCAAATTCTTTCACACAATAAATTTTTTTCAAAATAAATTAGATTGTTTTTAAAAGCACTCGAAAAATCTAAAAGTTTTCTAAATATTTTAAAAACAACAAAAATAAGTTATAGCATATCAAACATATTTTATTTTAAATAAATATTAACAAAATAAAATTAAATAACAATCAAAAGTGATCCTAAACAACCCGTCAGTCATTTACTATACTCAATAATACAAATCCAAATATAAAACAAAAAAAAGATATGAGTAGACATTAAGAATCTAGTTAAATACAAGCTCTTGTGAATCATGATCCTCATATATTTCTTATCATGAAAATAGAAATAAAAGACTAAGATCTAAAATTTAATCTTTAGATATAATAAAAGGAAGCACAATAATAGAAAAAAAATAAAGATTATAATGTTAACGTTTGATAAATCACTAGTTCCTCTTGTTAACATTATACATTTTCTATTTTTGGCTATCCCATTTTGGGCCAATATATAGATTTATTCGGCCCATTTTCCACCTTTCTGAGCCTGCAAATATTCGTAAGGCCGTGTAATAAAGCAGCCCAACGTTATATATAGAAAACTCGTGGCCAACCGAAGGCAGTTCCATTAAACACGCCTTTACCAACTCTCAAATTGTTCCCTTTGCAGCGAATGCTGGTCTCCGGCCACAGCAGAGCCGGCGAGAAAGCCGAGGTGGAGGTCTGGAGGTTCTCGCCGGCGGGTGAGGAAGGCCGCCGGAATCTTGCACGTTGATGCGGAAGCGTTGAACTCAAGGGGGATTCTTTCTCTTCTGTCTACTTTCTCTCTCAATCCGCCGAACTTATCCATCGTCGGTCGGCTGCCATTGGCGTGAGTGGTTTCACCTGGTGAGGTTTCAAAGCCTCTGAAAACGCTCGGTGAAGGATATTGTGAATAGAAGCAAGGAAGTTTTTTGTATTTTACTTTCTCCCTTTTCTTCCTTGCGTTTCTATAACTATTGATAGCAGCCGGTGGTGAGGTTCGCTGGAGAATAGATTCAGGAAGGCGGGATTGCATTATCATTCCTTACTGCATCGTGGCTATTTATTCTACCTCAATGGATTTGGGTTCTGAGGTAAAACCTACCCTAAATGTTGGTTAAATTATGCATTAGGCATGCGATTAAGGTGAAATTGTTTTGATCAGTGGATGTTTCTCTGTATTTTGAAACTATTTCACTCGCTTAGGTGATTGGTATTAACGTTGGGTATCGGTTGACGCACGTAACTAAGATTTATATTTGATGACTTGTTTATTTATAATCATCATGTTCTTTCTTCTGTGAGATGAGTCTTTTTTGCTTTGGCTGGTTTCCTTTTAGTTATCAATATAATTTTTCTGTTCAAAAGTTATCTTCAACAGGAAAGAAAAAAAAAATTGTATGACTTATAGTAAGCTGCACTTGGAACACGGAGTGAAGTTTTAGAAATTGATTTAGAGGACTTCTAGAATAATTACCTTTAGAGATAAAAACCTATGAATCTTCTTCATGAAGAAGGTGGTTTAGATAATAATTAATTTTCTTTTATGATTTGTTAGGATATTTATCTGGTTAAACTATTTGCTGGGATTGTTCGAAGGAAGCCATGGAGATCTATTCTATTTGAACATAGAATGACTATTTCTTGTAATTATGTAAGTTTACAAATATAAATGATGATTTATATAGATTTGCTAGTAAATTTCACACCACACTCAATTATTATACCTTTTTTTTGACCTAAACAGCTATAAACATAAAGTACCTGAGTTTGAAGAGACAGTTCGTGAAGAAAAAATGTCTACTGACAAAGTTCTTTTGACTTACAAGCGGAAACGCTCATCTTTTCAAACTGATTTTATTCATGACACAAAAGCAACCAATTTATCTTCTAATATTCAAAGGGGATCATCATGGATATCCAGTCCTAAGTTTGAGTGCAATGCAAATGCTGAGAAACTCAACGATCATCATTCAGTAAGAAGGTTTATCACTTGTAAATATTTATTTTATAATTAAGTTGCACTTAAATTTTATAGTTTTGTTAATTGCACATGATATTTAGTATTCTGATAAATTTCCTCAATTTTGTTGCTGTATTTTTGCTAATCAAAGATGCTGGACCACTAAGAACATAACAATTGCTTAATTTGTTTCTTTCAATTGCCGAGAAAATTATATGAAGTTGTTTTTCAATAAATGCGGACATTTAATAGCTCTGTTAGAAATGTGTTTATCAAATCATTTAATTTTTACAAAGATATGTATGTTTTCAGGTCAACAATATTTGCAATGATAAACACACATGTTTAATCGTATATCAGGTATTTTGATGAATCATTGCATATTTATTAATGAATACTTTTAAATACATCTCCACGTATAAACTGTAAAAATTTTCAGGCAAAATAAATTTAATATATCACATGGCACTCAACATGAATTAATGAAGAACGATGATTAACTAGCTAATCCCAATTAGCTGGGGATAAGGCTGGAGTTTTTGTAGGTAGTATTTGTAATTTGTTTCTTAGATTAGTACATAAAAAATAATTTCTATTTACATATGTGATTCATATTTTTCTGTATTGAATGCTTGCTTGAACTTATATTCATTTTATAAAGTTAGTTCCTAAAATTTATATATCATACATTGTAAGCTTACTTGAGGTCTTTATAAACTTGTTACTTCTGTATGCATCATCATCATCAGCGTCCTATTATGTATTTGGCATCAGATTTATGAATTTCGATTGTTGAGTCATTCTTATTGAGCATTACATGAGGTGTCAACTCAGTTTTTGTCATGCTTATTTTGTTCTAGGTTTTTCTTTCCATATTAGTTATCTTCCACTCTTATTGGTGCATCTTTTTCCTTCCATTTTACCTGCTCAAACCACCTAAATTCATTTTTTGGGCTACATTCTCTCCAATATTTGTTACTCCTTCATCTTCATTATTATGCTTATATCTCACCCATTCATTTTTTTTTTAGCAAACTTTCATCTTGATTATTTGTTTATTTACTATCCTAATCATACTTTTATTAATTTTTTTCACACGTATTCCTTTCATTACTTGCTACTCTTGAGACTTATTCATTTTACTCACTCAAACTACCCCTAGAAAGTTTATGCTTATGTCTCATTCTTTGTATTTGATATATATATATATATATACATATATATATGTATATTTGATATATATATATATATATACATATATATATGTATATTTGAAAATATTGATTGATAATTATTTGTTTCACTCCTATCAAATTTGCATATCATATGTTGTCTTTTTTATAGCTGCCCCAGGCCTTTTGTATTATAAAAAAATCATCAAATGCTTTTGTTATTTGTTTATTTCAGAACATATCTCATTCATTAAAACAATGTTTTTTGTAAATAACACATGCCAACCATATGTTGAATAATTAGATATGACTTGAGCTTTTAGCCTTGAAATTTGTCCAAAAATGTTGGTTTGACCATCATCAAATTTTTATGCAAAATGAAAGAAAATGAATTTGTGAAATGATAACTAGGAATTATAATCTATTATTACGTACGAAGAGAAACTTTGCTATTTCTAGTCTTATATAGTGAAGATGAGTTATAGTTTTGTTATGAAATGAGTCTTGCATCTTTCTCTGATATTGAAGTGGGTTAGTCCATCACGCACACATTCTCTCCCCTTTAACCATCTCCCCCTCTCTAGCACGCATACGCTGATTCAATCTACTTTTTTTTCAGAAGATCTTATAAATTAGCCTTATTTCTTACCACGCCTTCTCTAGATTCATCAGGGATGTTTTTTGTTTATTATTATTTTATTTTGCTATTCAAATATTTGAATATGAACTATATCATGTGGGGAGCAACACCCTAAATTTCCTTTTACCCATGCTTGATAAAGTTCTTAGGGACTACTCTTCAATGCTTTGTACGATTTTCTTAGAAGTACAAAGGAAGTTTCTTGTATAATGATACTTGAAATGATTGAGGTTGCACCACAATTTTTTTTATAAGATATGTCTGATTTAAATCAATAATTACGCAAATTGGCATTTTCAAATCATTAGCTTTAATTGAGAGTGATCTATTTTCATTGATATGGAAGTCATAATTAATAGTCAATATTTTTCATAAAATTAAATAATATCTACTACTATAGGGTTTATTGATCTTGTAATGATTATATAAAAAGGATGAATATATGAATGATGATGTAGCTTCTAGTGCTAAAAAATTGGAAGTTAAATGCGGTGCATAAGGAGTATTATGAATATGAGCAACGATAGATTTTATCATGCTATTATTAAACCTGGTATGATGAATAACTTATTTATTGGGCAACAAGGTTATCATTAAATTGAAGTTGCGAAAATAGAATAATGATATGCATGTCAAATAAATTAGGAATGTTGGAGTTATAAATGATTTATAGACTTGAGAGTAGCCTTGTTTGAAGATAAAGTGGAAAATGAACTTGTCTTGTGATTACACAATATTTAACTTGTTTTGTGATTTGGCTTTAGGTTGTAGTTGATTTACTAATGAGGCGGCAAATATAACTAATATGAAAGATTTTTAAATAAAAGAGGTACAATGGATTCGAGTTTTCATGTTCAAAAGTTTTTCCAAAAGGTTCACACACTTATATTTCAACTGATTATATAGTAGTTAATTGAATGATTGGAGGGAGATTAATGATTCCATCCCCAAGTATTTTTTTAGAGATCAGATAAAAAGCCAATTATGGTGCGTTTGTGTTTAATTTAAATTTATAAAATTGATGCCAACCAACTCCATGAACTTATACTTGATTCCTACATGGATACACATATTTATGCTTTCATATTTTATTATACATCATTTATGACAAGAAGAAAATATTTTTCATTCAAAATGTAAATAAGAAGTTAATGAATGATCATCTGCTCTTTTTAATTTCTTATTAGTTATTGATTAAATTAATTTTCTACTTATTAGGTGTGTCTATGTTAATCCTAGATTTTGAAGGTTTTCAATCTCATCCTATCAGATTTTAACCAATTTGGTCCTATCATCAATCTTATTATTTTTTAGATTGAAATAGGTGAAAGAGTGCTTTCCATGAGGGTATTTTTAACTTATTAGGATCAATCTTGTGGCGCAACTAAGTTAAGTTGACTCATCATTCCGCTTGGCCCCACTTAATAAATGGCTCGATGAGCTAACAAACTAAGCTTGAGCTAACTTCTCTTTATTTGTTAGCTCATGAGCTAGCTCTTTTGAAAAATGTTGCTATACGATGCACTTAAAATATATTAGCATTTGAGGAGTTTGGTACATGCTATTCAAAATCTATCGAAATTGTATTTTCAATTTCTTGTATCAAAGTACTTTTCATTATTTCTCTTCCTTTTTTCATTTATTTGCTATTTTATCACAACAAATTCTTACACTGAAATCATTCCCGCTTTCATAATAAATGGGCCAATTTATGAACCGGCGGGAATTCATAAAGTAAGCTTGAGGTCAACCTCGTCTTAAGGCTCCCATGAGCGGTGAGCTCCTCATTCGAACTGATCAGGTAAATTCAATTTTTTTTTAGTTTAGTTAAATTAATAAGACTTTTGTGTGATAAAGACAAAATGCGAAATGGGATAAAGGTGGTTGAAGTGGAGGAATGCATTGGGCCTATTGTGTGATAGAAAAGTATTGCTTAGACTGAAAGAAAAAATTTCTTAAGATGGTGGTGAGACTTGCAATGTTCTATGATGCAAAATGTTGACCTTTAAAAGAGAAGCATAAAACAAAGTTAAGTGTTGCTGAGATGAGAATGCTTAGGTGGATAAGTGGCTTGACACTTACAGACAAAATGCCAAATGAATATTTCCGTGATAGAGTCGGTGTAGCTCTAGTGGCGGAAAAAATTAGAGGGAGTCGTCTTAAATGGTTTTATCGCATCAAACGTCGATCATCTGATAATCCTGTTAAGAGAGCAGATGTTTAGATTCAACTTATGTTAAGAAAGAAAGTGTTTCACCGAAAAAGAGTTGGGCTTATCGTATAAAAAATGGTTTTAATCTATTAGAATTAAATGAATATATGACACTCAATAGGACACAATGCAGAAAAATGATTCATGTAGCCGACCCCACTTAGTGGATAAAGGCTTGTTGTTATTATTGTTGTATGTTAATAAGACTTTAATAAATATTATTATTACACTAAGAGCCATATAATTGTATCATATGGTATCTGAGCATGATAATACCCTAAAAAAAAATCATAGAACATTTGATCTACAAAAAAAAAAAAGAGAAAAATATTCCAAAAATATCAAAATAGTTTCTATTGTAGTTCCTAGCCCCCAAGCCTAAATGTTTAAAATCCAACATTCTTTTCTTCACCAAAATTTTATTTCGACAGCTACCGCCAAAATTGAAGCCTCCAACCAATCTTGATTTGTTATCCTACTTTTGCCAAAAATCTGATCGTGAGAAAAGTATGCCTTACTGCCAAGAAAAAAACCCTTAACCAAATATTCATGAACTTACTATGGAGGATATGTAATGAAAAATCCTTCAACTTCAATATAGACTTGCCGCTCTTAGGATGAGATAATCCGGTGAGATCACTTATGGGAACAACAGTAACTCGCCAGATCTTGGGAGGAAATGAATTCCTTAAAACGAGCAATTTTTGGTGACGAAGAACCAATATCCTGACCATTTGACCTATGATTTCAGTGGAGAAGTCAGAATTTTGGATAAAAGTGGATTTATCAGATTATGATGGTTGAATTGGTCCGAACAATTTTATCGAGTGGCTCCAAACAATGGAACAAAATTTTTGGTACAAAAATATTGCCCATGATATAAAGAGTTAAATAGGTAGCCTTGAAGCTTAGGCCTTATGATGGGAGAACCTTAAATGTATTCAACAACGGTAAGAAAAAGATTAAATTACTGCTTGGTCCAAGGTGGA